AAGCAGAAAAAGTTCACCAGTTTAGACGATGACATTATCAAACACTGTACAACAAATAAACTTACTGTTTTCAAAGAAATAAAAGATAAACCTGAGATTATCATAGGAAACTACAAAATAATAGAATTTCTAGAAATTAAAATACAGAAACTAAAATTAAATGGATAGTTGCAATGGCTGATTGGACACAGAGAAGCAGGAACAAGAAGATAGATCCATAGAGATTCTCTTACACAGCACAGAGACAAATGCTAGGAAATAGATAGGAGAAGGTAAAAATACGACTAATGCACGTTTGATAATCAGTTCTAGAGGGAAAGGAGAGAAAGAATGAAGCACAGAAAACGATTTTAAGAGACAACAATGGAGAATTTTCCAAACTTGATAAATGATCTATACATTAAAGACACTTCATCCAAGCCACAAGAAGTAAATATCCACATCTAGACACATAGGTGAAACTGCTCAGCACCAGAGACAAAAAAATGTAAGGCAGTCAGAGAGAAAAGAAATTAACTTCAAAGAATTAGCAATTAGATTAAGAGATTAGAATCACTCCCCACAATGAAAACCAGTGCAGTGAAATTATACTTCAAAAGTGCCAGGGAAAACATGAACTCCCAACATAGAATTCTATACTGATCGTATCTTTCAAGAATGAGAGTGAACTTCCAGGTAGCTGAAAACTGGTGGCAACCTTAGCTACACGTCTCCCAATATTTCATTGCAAAATAATGCAAAAAACAAGAAGGAAAAAGTAAGTCTATATAGAAACTTCAGGGTAACTTGAAGCAAGAGAATTTTGAAACTTCAAACTAATGATAAAATGAGAAAAACCACCAAATCTCAGCATATACTCTCATAAGCCTGCCCCTACACCACCTCAGTGCAAGGCTTTGTTGAGAGAAGGGAGAGAGATGAATCGCAAGAAAGACAGAAAAAGGATGCTAGCAAATAGGCCTAAAGTTAGTGGAAAACTACTAACAGAAAGACTAAGTCTGAACGGTCTAAAAAATGTGCCCAAACATGTCCAAACAGAGCACAGTCTATAGAGAAGGGGCTTCAGAGTGAGTACAATTTGTAGGGGCTGGTATAATTTAAGGGGGAGGCAATCTCCGAAACACTAGCTTCTGGTGAAAGAAAAAAGTGAAAAAGGAGAAGCACCTACTGACAATTAGGTGATGAAAGTGAAAAGGAAAAAATGGAAATGTAGAGTCTTGCAAGACAACTGCAAACTGCAAAACTGGAACACTTACAACCCCTCCCTCTCACCAACCCAGACCAACAAAAGCCCCACGAAAGCACGTGAACTTTGCTGTGTTGACAGATGAGATCTCAGCCATGAAGCATGGAAATGTCAATAACAGATAGGAACACTGATAAGGAAGAAACAAATTTGTCATTATTCGTAGGCATGATTATGTGTGGGAAATACAAAATAATCTACAGGTTAAGTCAGAAATAATGATAACTTAGTTCTACTTCCAGCTATGGGTGGATTGGCTTTAAACAGAAAGACCTTCCCATCAAGAATAAATAGAAAAGCTAGATCTTTTTTTGAAGATTTTTATTTATTTTTATTTGGGAGGGGGGAGGTAATTAGGTTTATTTATTTATGTTTAGAGGGAATACTAGGGATCAAACCCAGGGCCTCGTGCATGCTAAGCATGCGCTCTACCACTTGAGCTGTACCCTTTCCCCCCAGAAAAGCTGGATTTAAGAACAACAACAACAAGAAGACCTGTTGAAAGATCAGAGAGCTACTAAGGTAACAGGGACATAGGGGGTCAAGATCCTAGCAAAGGGAGTTCAGGGGGGTGAAAATAACCAAGTTTTCACCTGAGGCATTTGTTGATTCATAAGTGGTGACTAAGGGAGACACCTAGTAGTAGAGACGCCAGGCAGGAGGCAGAGAAGCCACCCAGAAGCTTTTAGCAGTACTGCTGGTGCCGGGAAATATGAATTCAGCACCTATCAAGAAAAGGGGGCACCACAACAGCTTTTCAGTTAGGACACTTGAATGGCTACACGTTAGGAGTAAGGGCTAATCAGAAGCAGACCAATTTTCACAATCTCAGAATTCCACTTGGCATCAGTCCCACTACCTACTGGAGTAAGCTGTTCTGTCCCTGAACTGCCTGCAAGATGCAACAGTAAAGTGTGTGGAGGAAGATACCACCTGGCGCCTCAAATGACTACTACTAATTTTAATCTATAATATACAGCATCCAATCAAACGTTACCTTTATTGTCACATACCAAATGTTGAAAGATCAAGAAAAAAGCAGAAACAGTCCCATGAGAGTGACAGATTTTTTTCAGTTACCATCAGAACCTTATTTAAAATAATGGTAAGGAATAAATCCAAGAAAGTAGAAAAAACAGGATGAAGAATTTTTAGCAGATAATTAAAATCTATTAGAAATTAAATGGAGGCTTTCAATTCTGGACAAAATGGACTAGATACATTTCTCTTCTATTCCTCCCATAAGCACAGCAACAAAAAACTCGTGCATTATATATAAAACAAATAAGGATACTCAAAGGTGGAGAGAAGGCAGACCAGCTAGGAACCTCCAAGGAATCTCCAGCACCCAAGGAATGACACGGTGCTGAGTTTCCTGGGTTTTCTTTTTGCTTCAGATATCCCATAATGGGTGCTGGAGAAGCTGGCAACCAGGAATGCCAAAGGGTGCAGACAGAAAAAAAGAAAAAGAAAAAAACCCAAGGAAAAAACTTCTCTAGCCAAAGGACCAGGAAAGGGACAGCCTACTAGGACAAAATAGTTTTAGATAATAATTGTACTACTCCAGGCAAATTCTACAGGAAAAACTGAGGCTCATCTCTACCCTCTGCCAGCAAAGGCTGAATGGGGAGTCTAGACTCCACCTTCTGGCTGTGATGAAGCACTCTTTCCCACTACCTGGGTGGTATCAAAGAAGCCCACGTGGAGAGGACTTCCAGGACTTCCACCACCACACAGCGATAAGGAGGCTTCATAGCATCAGTGGAGGGCACGTGGGGAGCAGTAACAAGTCACCTTCCTCACCTGGGGTATCAGAAAAGGCCAAAGGAGAGCCTGAACTTTCACTCTCACCTGGTAGTAACAAGGCAGTTCCCCCACCTTTCCCATCAGCATAGCGTCAGAGGAGTTCTGCTTCAACAGGGGTTTTAAATAAGATCCAGAGCCTTGTAATACCTTGAATATCCAGGATACATTTTTTTAAATCACTCATGACACAAAGAATCCAGAAATTTTCAACCTGAATGACAGAAGAAATAAAAGACAACAGATACCAACATCAAAATGACACAGACATTGGCATTATCTAACAAGGATAGAATAAAAATATTTCAGTGAGCAATTACAAATGATCTTAGAACAAATGATAAAAGTTTCAGCAAAAAAAAAGTCTCAGCAAATAAATACAAGATATAATGAGAAATCAAATAGAAATTTTAGATCTGAAAAACACAATAATTAAAATAAAAAACACAGTGAATGGGCTCGACGGCAGAATGAAGGAGACAGAGCCAAGACACACCCGTTAGTGAACCTGAAGACAGAAGAGTAGAAATTACCCAACCCGAACAACAGAAAATAGACTGAAAAAAATTAGTAGAGCCTCAGGGATATTAAGGGTTATAACAAAAGATTTAGCATTCACATCATCAAAGTCCCAAAAGGAGAAGAATAAGAGGGTGGGGCAGAAAAGGTATGAGAAGAAACAAGGGCTGAAAATTTCCCGAATGTGCCAATAGACATAAACCTAAGATTCAAGAAGCTGAGTAAATCCCAAACTGGATAAAACCGAAGAAATCTACACTGTCACACTATAATCAACCCTCTGGCAACTAAAGAAAAAGAAAAAGTTTTGAAAGCACAGAGAGAGAAAAGACACCTTAGCTACAGTGGAAAAACAACTCAAGTAACAGCCAATTTCTCATCAGAAACTGTGGAAGCAAAACGGAATTGGCACAATTTTCAAGTGCAGTAAAAAAGAAACTGTCAACCCCAGATTCTGTATCTGGCAACAATATCTTTCAGAAAAGAATGGGAAATCAAGACATCTTGGATGAAGAAAAACTAATAGAATTTGTTTCCAGCTCACCTACTCTTTAAAAAAAAAAGGCTAAAGGAAGTTCTTGAAACAGAAAGAAAATGATTTAAAAAAAAAAAGAATCTTGGAACACCAGAAAGGAAGAAAGAAAAGCGGGAAGGGTAAAATATGTGTAAACACTAGGCATTCCTTCTTCTTTTAAACTTTGTAAGTTATGTTTGACAGTTGAAGCAAAAATTATAACATTGTCTGGTGTGGTTCGCGGCGAATGTAGAGGAAATATTAAATACAATTATAAATGGCAGTGAGTAAAGGGACAGGTGTGATTTTAAAATCTTTACAAGAGGTAAGGTTTCCACATTTCACCAGAACTGGTGAAATATGGACACAATTAGACTGTGATCATTTATGTATCTATAAAGGGTGGGTTCGGACAGCAGATTTTAACAGGTTGAGGGGTCAGGATGAGGTGCATGGAAGCTGCACACACTTTCTAGATTTGGGGCCTGAAAACGAAGGAGGGCTGGGTCTCTACTGTAGACAGAGGAAGAGGTAGCCAGTGGAGAAGGGCACATATGTCAGAGATGTGGGATAATGGAGCAAGGGCGGAGTGAGGATGAAGGGGGTTTGTCTTGGGAAGAAAAAAGCCTCTGGCTCCGAGAAGAGGAGGCTGGCTGAAGATACACATTTGAGAGAAAGTGAGGGAAGCAGGCAGTTGCATAATGAGAATGACTTTCTTCTCAGCCTAGGAGCTCCCTGCTAGAGAGGGGGTAAACCTAGCTGGCGGCGATGGTGCAGGTTTGGGGCGCGGAGAGCGGATACGAACACCAGAAAGACAGATACTCAGGGCGTGTCAGGCGCTAAACCTGTTTTCAGTCTCGCTATTCAAAAGGTGTAAAATGACGGCTTGACCGCCAGGTGGCGGTGCCTATGGAAGCCCACGTATCCCATCAGCCCTGGCGGCAGGCGGAAGAAGGCGTGGAGGTGACTCTCTAGCTTGCGTCGCCTCTACTCTCCTATCCCCACTGACGTTGGACAACAAAGATGGCGGCAGGAACCAGCAATTACTGGGAAGGTGAGGGGAGAGCTCCGTGAGGGTCTCGCCGAGGAGCAGAGGGGCTGAGGGAGGACCGGTTTAGGGGCAGGCAGCAGAGGGAAGAGCTTGCCCTCCGGAACGGCCGAGCTGCGGGCGGGGCTGGTCTAGGGGGAGCCCCGAGGCCTGGGGGCTGAAGAGACCGTACGGTCTGCGGAGGGGCTGACCTGAGAGGCAGCGAGACTTGAGGCAGAGGTTGGGCAGAGAGGGCAGAGCCGGAACCGAGAGGAAGAGGGGCCGGAGTCACCGGAGGAGAGCTGGGTTGAGGGGGTAGCGAAACTCGGAGGAAGGGGCTTGGGGCATGAACTCTGGGAGGAAACCAGTGTTAAGAGTGAATGTCCCGAGCCCAGGAGACAGGAAGAGTCAGCGCCTTAAGAGCTGAGGTCACTGTTGGACAATTGAGTAGGAAAAGAGAAAGGAGGAACTTGCCCATCCGGTCCATCGAGGGAAGTTGTGTGAGCCTACTGGGTCCCCTTGGCAGCTTCAGCCTGGGACTCCGTGGATTGGGTGTCGAGTCGCGTCTGAAGGCAGAGGAAATAACTTTACCCTCTGCTCTGGAGATCGGTTTTGTTAAGAGAAAGTTGAGAGATCAGTGTGAATTGTAGTTATTGCATTTGGCTTACCTCGTCTACCAAAAAAACCATCTTGTGATTTGACAAGTACATTTATTTAATTCCTGAAAATATGGTTCGATAAAGTGAATTCATGTAAAAATTCATTCCTGGACCATGATGATGAACAAAGATCAGAGAAGGCTCAGCCTGTTCTTTCAATTGTCTCTGCTTTACTTTAGAATAGAAACTACTCTCCAAATCTCTTTTCCCTTTTAACCTGTTTCCTGTTGCTACCCACTGAAGCCTTTGGAAACCACAAATAACAGTATTGTCACTATCAGCGACTTGCTCTAAACTACCTAATTCCAAGTTCATCCATACTTGCCTGTCATACTTAGGAAATGCTTTTACCTTGATGTTCTCTACTAGAGAAGACAGTTACTAATTACAGAGAAGTATGCTTTTAGTTTGAAACATGTATTAAAACGTCTATTTGAAATGTGTGTGCTAGCTAGAAAATATGTTTAAATTTGGTAAAAGTGGCTATCGGTCACTTGGATGCTAGTCATTATGCTGTACTGTTTTGAAGCACCATGCTGTAATAATTACAACAGCTTATTATTGCCAGCCTGTACTATGTCAAGTGCTTTAAACACATGATTACTAATGCATAGAAAACCCCTGAAGAGACGGATTTAAAAAACAAAAAGTAGAGGCTCATAAGTGAAGTAGATTATGAATGCATCTCAGAGCCAATTCTCAGAATCTAAGAACTTTAGGCAGAATTGAGGTTCTAACTGAGATTTGTCCCTGGGAAAATGTTCTCCACTGTATTACCTGCATGCTGCGATCCTACTTCTGGTTGCGGATAAAGTATACTGAAATAATATTTTGTGTTAATTATTCCTAAAAGATGAGATCTTCATAGTATGCCTTGTATTATCGCAACCTTTTTATTTTGACCTCTACTTCACTATGAATGAATGAGTGTACTCGCATCTAGATACGGCTTCTCTCACTCAGCCACTTAAATGCCAGACTATTACACTAATTTCTCTGCATGTTTGTTTGCTTATTTTAAAATGTATGCTCTTATTTCTATCATACTTAAATTTGACCTTGTTGGTAGCACATTGTTTACTGTTAATTTCAGCCTCTCCAGATTTCTTTTAGTAAGCTTATTGGAAGACAATTTTTTAAATCTTTGTCAATGATCTTTTCTTTACACTCAATCTCTTAATCACTCTACTATTAAGAATTTCATAAGCCTAGTAAAGCTTTGGGACATTAAGAGATAGGAAAATCCTTGTCAAAAACAGTGATGGATTCTTTTTTGTAAAGTTAGCTGGTAAATTGATATAATGCTGGTCATAAACCATATTCAGTTCCTTTGTGATTTGTATTCTTTTCTGTTTTCCCCTGAATTACAAAATTTTAGTTATTGCTGTAGAAACAATTTCAGGGATGTTAGAACAACATTTGTTGTCTAGCTGTTTTTGAGATAAAGCTGAAATTTTGCATCTCCCACTGTTTCTCCCCTTTTTGCCCCATCTGAAGTTTAAATAAATGACAATTTGCTTTCCTGGATAAGTGTTATATTTCCTTCTTTCAACAGTTGTCTTTAAGGGAGAATTTAGATACATGATCATTTTCAGTAGTTTTTTTCTTCAGAAAACTTTTGTGATTTTTATATCTATCAGTGGACTTGCTGTGTCTAATTATTTGCTTTTATAATTTTGTTAAAGATCTTAGGAAACAGGCTCGACAGCTGGAAAATGAACTTGACCTGAAACTAGTTTCCTTCAGTAAACTGTGTACAAGTTACAGTCACAGCAGTGCCCGAGATGGAAGACGCGACAGGTATAGGTACTACCAAATTCTCTCTCTTATGCCTTAAACTTTATAATGTTTTAAAGTATTAAAATATAAAGTAAAATATGTAACTCTGTAATTTGGTGTGTTGGTGTTTGTTGTTTTTTAGAGATTATAAAAATTCGTAATTCTTGAGACTAAACGTGTATTTGGGATCCTCAAGCAAAGATTGTGGTGTTGTTAGGAGGAAAGTGCTAAGGCTTAAGGATGAATTTGCCTCAGAAATGAGTTTCTATTTCAGCTACTGTAAGGAAATGTGATTGCTCTGCCCACATTATATTTCTTATATTTTCTGATTGCTGTATGGATCTGAGGAACTACTCAAGTGCAGAGTATACCCACTGCTGCTAACCCGGTGTTTTAGAATGAATCTGATGCAGAGTGTATCCTCACTATTGATCATCTAAGCTTTTTAAATTTTGATTCTTTTTTAAGAAACTGGAATACTACTATTTTGAACATACGGAAACCGTTATTCCTATCTTTGAATCTCATTTTAGGCCATCCACTCATTTCAAAGAATATTAGAAAATATTGAAGACACTAAGAAAGATATAAAGAATAATATAATGTAAACAACAAGTTTATGCTGTATAGTACAGGGAATTGTATTTAATATCACTATCAGTAGTAACTTATAGTGAAAGAGAATGTGAAAATGAATATATGTATGTTCCTATGTGACTGAAGTATTGTGCTGTACACCAGAAATTGACACAGCATTGTAACTGCCTATAGTTCAATAAAAATATATTTTAAAAAAATAATAATATAATGGATCCCCAAGTGCCTGTCTCCTACTTTAAGAAATAATCATGACCAATTCAACTGAAGCCCCGACGGCATCTCATTTTCTCCCTCCCCATAGTCTCCATATATTTTTACTACATGGCGTTTGTATTCCTAAACAATTCCTGGTATCCTACTATAGTTATTTTGCAACTTGCTTTCTTGTTTAACATTAGTTTTCAGATTAAACTATGGATACATTTAACTCTGATATATTCATTTGCTGCATATAGTATTATACTGTATGACTGTATCACAGCTTATTCTGTGGGTGCACATTGTTTCTAATTTTTGCTAACTAATAATAATTTAAATAGCTGACACAGTGTTTATCATGTCTTGGGTGCTGTTTTAAGAGCTTTATAGAAAGGCTACTGGGAACATTTTTGCCTATAAAAATATTTCTGTGTATCTAGCAGTAGAATTGCTGATTCCTGACTTGGTACTTGTTATCCTCTCTTTATTTTACATCCTTTGGGATTGGTGGTGGGTTGGATATTTTTCAGCTAATAATAATAAAAACAATAAAAATTTAGCTTGGATTTGAACTCAGGTCTTTCTATATCCAGAGCCCATGCTCCAAATCTTTTTGTGTCCTTTCCAACAGAAGATTCATTTCAGTACTATAGCCAGAGTGTTTCTTCTTTTTATAAGGTCACATTATTAAAGATAGCAGGGCCAACATATTGACTCCAGAAGCTAAAAGTGGGCTGTTGGCATGTAACATAGCTTTGACTGCAGTACATTGCTTTGGGCTCACCTTTCCTTAGCAAGTAAAGAAAATGAGGACTGTTCTTTTCTATGAGTAAACTTATTTTATCACTGGAAAGCATTTTTCCTGAAAATAAGTCTGCCGCTTGCCTATGCCAGTGAGTATGTAATTTTAAAACCCCAAACTGTGAAGAGATATAATTCATGATACTTTTTCTGTGTTCTCTGTGTTTCATGAACTTATTACGTGCATGCCTTGTTTTATTGTGCTTTGCTTTATTGCTCTTTATATATGTTACATTTTTTACAAATTGAAGGTTTATGGCAACCTTGTGTCTAGCAAGTCTGTGGGTGCCATTTTTCCAGTAGCATTTGCTCACTTTGTGTCTCTGTGTCACATTCTGGTAATTCTCGCAAAATGCCAAACTTTTTCATTATTACTGTGTTTCTTATGGTGATCTGTGATCAGTGATCTTTGATGTTACTATCCTAATTTTGACGGGACGCCATGAACTGCACCCATATAAGATGGCAAACTTAGTCCATAAATGTCGTGTGGGTTCTGACTGCTCCACAGACAGATCATTCCCCCATCTCTTTCCCTTTTGCTCAGGTCTCCCTATTCCCTGAGACACAACAGTATTACAGTTAGACCAGTTAATAACCCTACAGCGACCTCTAAGTGTTCAAGTGAAAGGAAGAATTGTTGCATGTCTCTCACTTTAAATCAAATTTAAATCAAAAGCTAGAAATGATGAAGCTTAGTGAGGAAAGTGTATTGAAAGTCAAGGTAGGTCGAAAGCTAGGCCTGTTATGCCAAATAACCAACTTGTGAATGCAAAAGAAAAGTTCTTGAAGGAAATTGAGAAGTGCTACTCCAGCAAATACAAGAATGATAAAGTGAAAAGCCTTGTTGCTGATACAGGAAAAGTTTCAGTGGTCTGAATAGAAGATCAAATCAGCCACAACATTCCCTTACGGCAAAGTCTAATCCAGAGCAAGGCCCTGACTCTTTTCAATTCTGTGAAGATTGAGAGAGGTCAGGAAGCTGCAGAAGAAAAGTTTGAAGGCAGTTGATGTAGGTTCATGAAGTTTAAGGAAAGAAGTCATTGCCATAACATAAAAGTGCAAGGTGAAGCCCAAGTGCTGATGTAGAAGCTGCAGCACGTTATCTGGGATCTAGATAAGACAATGAAAGTGGCTACCGTAAAGAGCAGATTTTTTAATTTAAGTGAAACAGCCTTCTGTTGGAAGAAGATGCCGTAGCCAGAGAGAAGAGGTCAGTGCCTGGCCGCCTCAAAGGAGAGGCTGGCAAATGTTAACCACTATATATAAAAATAGATAAAAAACAAATTTCTTCTATATAGCACAGGGAATCATATTCAATATCTTGTAATAACCCTTAATGAAAAAGAATATATGTATATATATGCATGACAGGGACATTATGCTGTACACCAGAAACTGACACATTATAACTGACTGTAATTAAAAAAAAAAAAAAGGATCTGACTCTCTCGTTAGGGGCTAATTGTGGCTGATGACTTTAAGTTGAAGCCAGTGCTCGTTTACCATTCCAGAAATCTTAGGGCCCTTAAAATTATGCTAAATCTACTCTGCCTGTGTTCTGTAAATGGAACAAAGCCTAGATGATAGCACATCTGTTTATAACATGTAGCAATAAAGTATTTTTAAATTAAGGTATGTGCATTGTTTTTTTTAGACACGGTGCTATATTGCACACTTAATAGACTTCAGTAAAGTGTGAACAACTTAAATATGCAGTAAGAAACAAAAAAATTAGTGTGACTCACTTTATTGAGATATTTGCTGTCTTACGGTGGTCTGGAACTAAACCTGCAATGTCTCTGAGATACGCCCATACTTTTATGACTCCTTTGAAGGAAAAACTATTTTAAAACATTCCCTTAGAAATTCTACAACAAATTGGGAACGATTTTGTGGAATTATTTCAGCCTAGTTGTCCCCTTTAATAAGAAACCTAAGGCCATGAGAATCAAGATGCAGTTTGCATTCTAAAGTGTTTTGTTTGTTGCCCAGGTTGAAAGTGTGACATAATGAATAAGCTCAATGATGACCAGAATTTTTCTTCCAGGAGGAATTTTTTTGCTTTCTACTTTTGAGAACTTTATGTATGAATCGTCACATACCTGTAAAATGAATTAAATTTAACTGAATTTTATTATTGTGGAGACTGTATTTTTGACCATTTCCCTGTTGTATACTTTTCTGAGAATGCTGAATGTAGAGATTGCCTCCTCATTCATTCAACAAGTATCCAGTGAGCATCTACCATGTGCCAGGCACTATTCTAGGTGCTAAGCATATATATGTTTGTGTGTGTGTATGTATATATATATGTTTCTGTGAATAAGACAGGGGCAGTTTTCCTCCTCACGGAGCTTACATCATTATCCCATTGTTCTTTTTCATACATCTGGCAGGGGAGGATCTGTATCAGTAGAATATAGAGAATTTTGCTGGGCGTATTTTAAGAGATAACCACAGAACGTCGGGTTATCTCATGTAATAAAGAATGAGATATTTTGATATATTTGAAGGCAAATAAATTTTTTAAAGAAATAAAAATTTGGACCTAATTAAACATCTTAAAAATCCTCCTTATTAGCTGCTTTTTGGCTGTTTCACTCCTTGTCACTATTGCTGTAGGTATGCATATGGAGAAGGGATATAGCCAAGGTAATTTTTGCTGTTAAACTGGTGATTTAATCTGTTTTCATTCACTGCTCTCAAGCACTATCGCAGGACAAGACAAAGTCTTCGTTAAGATTGTAGAGCATAGTCATTGCCTGGGTGTTTGTCTGTGTTCAGTATAACTGAGATCTGTATTGAGCTGAAGCTGCTCATATGATGATATATACAACTTATGGACCTAATGAAGGTTAGTGGTTTTTCAGAAGAGGCAAAAGACACTTTCAAGACATGGTTTTAGAATTTGAATCTGTCAAACGTAAGTTTCACTTGTAAAAACATAGGTCTGACTATTCAGATTTTAAAAGACAGTTCAGCACATTTTTGCAAAACAAAATAGAAACGATTGTATAATATAAGTGCAAATGTAAAGGGTTGGTACTACAGCTTCCCTGCTGGATGTGGCTATCTATATTAGACTTAAAGCCAGTTCCTGATTATTTAATAACTAGTTATCCAATTTTTGGGTCATTTAAATCTCCATTTTATTTATTGGAAAGAGTCATGGAAGGAAGAGAAAACTTAATTTAAGGTCTAAGGAACCATAATTAAGGTTGAAAAAAAGATTATTCCTCACAGATCTGATAGCAGACATAGTACATTTTATGGTTCCTCTTATATGCTGTACCACATAGTTCTGCAGTTTTAGTTTACGTAGTTTGTTTTTTCAGATTCAGCATTTTATTGCGAACTGCCATAGCTTAAATTACTTTCTTTTGGAAAACAGTAAATGAGCATTTAGAATTTCTTTGCATTATTAAGATTGGATCTATTAAAGCTTGGGACAGTCTTACATTCAATTATATTTTATACTGAATTTAATATTTAGGACATGCGTGATCTTTATAGGAAAATGCCTATGAAATTATAGTTTCTTAAGAAAAATATCTCAGTCCTCTTTAAGAATAATCACATTATTTTAAGTATTTTTAAATGATTAGGTTTAAGTAATGGATTCTCTTTTTATTGAAGTATAGTCAGTTTACAATGTGTTAATTTCTGATGTACAGCATAATGATTGTTATACATATGTATGTTCCTTTTTATATTCTTTTTCATTATAGGCTATTACAAGGTATTGAATACAGCTCCCCTTGTTTATCTATTTCATACATAGTAGTTAGTATCTGCAAATTGGTAATGGATTCTCTTTATTTGAACTTCCCTTTAGCTCTGACACAACACCTCTCTTAAATGGATCAAGCCAAGACAGAATGTTTGAAACAATGGCAATTGAGATTGAACAGCTTTTGGCAAGGGTAAGTACTTTCTGTTAAATGGCTATTTTGTCACTAACTCTGTACTTGTTAGATATGGTATTAGATTATATTAATGCAGTCATATTTATTGAAATCACCCTTCGGTTCAAGTGGCCTCTCCAGGCCACTTGAATTTTGATGACAGCCATTCCAATGTCCTATGGGTGTTATTTTAGCCTTTATGGATTATTTGAGGGATAATGAATCCTTGTCTGCTATCTTCTTGTTTTTGTTTTTTGCTATTAGCCAGAAGGGCATATAGGCAAATAATTTATTTTTATCTCTTTATAGTGCTTTCTAAAATATTTTTATTGGATTTCTTTTTCTTTCTTTCTTTTCTTTTCTTTTCCTTTTTCTTTTTTTTTAGCTTACAGGAGTAAATGATAAAATGGCAGAATATACCAACAGTGCAGGTGTCCCCTCCTTGAATGCGGCACTGATGCATACATTACAGCGACACAGAGACATATTGCAGGTAAAATACTGGGCTGGAGATTTTTATGTTATTATAGGAGGGTTTTTTTTTTAATTTGTGAATGGAATGTGTGCCCATGTATTTATTTAAGAGAGCAATGGGGAAAAAAATCTGAGAGGATAAATACAATGCTATAGACATTTGTCGTATTTCATTTTTTTTTTCTTGGTATTATAAAATTCTGAAAATATGTAATAGCTCTTGCTTTTGCCTGGTAAAATTAAATAATATTCATTAGTAAGTAAACATACTTCTACTGTGGGAGACCTTGCTTGCTAGCTAGCTGAAACTGAAATAGCCAGTGGTCAGTCATAAGCAACAGTATGATGGTTTCTTTCATCAGGCTTTGAAGATAACATAGAAAAGGAATAATTTGCTGTATTTAGTATACGTTTGAGAAAATATTAAAAGTGTACCAATGAAATGAATAAACTTAAAAATTTACATGGGGGTTGTTAAAGATATAGTAATACAAATAGGAAGGCAAATATATTTAATATTGAAAAAATTCAGCCGTTTTTAATTTTTAAACTCCTGTTAAAAAGTAGGAATAGAAGGATACTTTATTTACCTAATGCACTAATGTGTTTATCAGGTTAAAAGCTATCATCATGCTTAATAATAAAGCCCTAAAAAACTTCTCATTGAAGAGAAAAACAAGACAAGAATACACACAATCCCCACAGACATTTAACATTATTTTGGAAGTTCTTGGTGGTTCAGTTACACAGTAAAAAGAAACAAGATATAAATTTTGAAAAGGAAGAGACAAAAACTGTGTTATATGGCAGTGATAAGATTATATAGCTAATACAACCAAGAAAACTAAAAAAAAAAAAATTAGAAACAAATTCAATAAGTTGATGGCTTACAAAATTAATATATAACAGCAGGTAGTTTCCTACACACAAACAGTAATTGATCAGAAAATACAATGGAAGAAACTATAAAACTTTTATGTATAAATTTAGTAAGAAATGTATAGGACTTGTATATATAAAACTCTACTGAGGAACATAAAAGAAGATTTACTTTGCTTCTGGATGGGAAGCTTTCTCTCTAAATCAACCTATAAACTGAGTACTGTCCCAATGTACAGGGTGTTTTGTTGGTTGTTTCATTAAAAAAAAAATGGCAAAATGACACTTGAGTTTATTTGGAATTACAGAATACAAGAATAACCAAGAAAAAAACATGTGAAAATGGAGATAAGTAGTAAAGGATGCCTGGTTCTACCACATATTAAAACCCGTTAAGAAGCTAGAATAATTAAGACAGTTTAATTCTGGAGAAAAAGTAGACTAATAGAAAAGAATAGAGTTCATATATAGACCCAAGTACGCATGAAAATTTAGTTTCTGATAAAAGAGCTATTTTAATTCAATAGGGGAAAGAGAGATTATAAAATAAATAGAGCTGTAACAATTGACTAATTATTTGTGGGGAGGGGAACCCTCAGTTTCTAACCCATTCCTCTTATCCAGAGTAAATTCCAAGTTGACCAAAGGTTTATATTTACAAAAGGAAACTATAAAGGTTCAGAATAAAGAAAGCATGGATGGTTTACACATTTTGAGGTAGTAAAGGACTGTCCTAAGCAAGACCTAATACCAGAAACTATAACAAATGACTAACTTACTTAATGTACATAGAAATAAGAAAAAGATAAGCTAGTGAGGAAATGGTCATATGAACTTGGTATTTACAGAAAATGAGTGGCCAAAACCATAAAAATGTGGTCAGCCACATTCCCAAATGAAAAATATACAAATCAAAATAAGATAATTTTTCAACTGTCAGATTAGCAAATAATAAAACATTTGTAACCTATTATTGACAAGAGTGTAGAAAAATGGGCACTCATCCATTTGCTGAGAACACAAGTTAGTCTAGAAGGCAGTTTAGCATTATCAAAATGTTCATGTAAGATTCTTTGACCCAGTTAATCTGCTAGGCATTTACCCTTTAAATACACTTAGAGAGTTCAGTGAAGTATATACAAGAATGTTTTTTGAACCATTTTTTTAGCAGCAAAAAAAAAAAAGGCAACTACAATGTTTATCAGTAGGGAGTTTATTAAATTACAGAATCATAGATAGAATTCTATATAGCTATTAAAAAGATTTCTATTTGCTAATATGGAAAGATTACTTGACATTTTATGAACTACAGAAAACAAGGCATGGTAGAATATAATATGATTTCTTTAGCATAAATGAAAAGAAATAATAGAAACATATTTCCTGAAAGAAAATGATGGAAAATGATGATAATGTTATGAACTGTTGAGCAGGGTGGTTTTTACATTTACCCTTTTGGTGCTCTTTTAGTTGGCACCCTGTGTTGAGCCATTATTTTTGTTTTTAAAGGGCCAATGGGCTCTCTGAGAGGTGGGATTATGTTTTCTGTCTTCTTTATATAGTTTTCTGAATTTTTAAAAGTAATGAGTATTCCTTAATATCTTAGAAATATGGTAGAAAAAGAAAGGAAAATATTTGAAGATTATTTTATTCTTTACATTTCTCTTGGTACTATTCTTCCTTTGATTGGTTTAGAAATTAAATTTCTGCAGGAGTTCCAAAAGGATGAAATTTGAAAATAAGCTCCATTAGGTGCACTTATGAGTAGAAAGAGCATCTTAAGTTTTATCCTAGGTGATTTGAAGTCATTTTATCTAAGGACTACTGTTTCTTTACAATTAAGCTCCGTAAGACAAGATACTAAGGGATACGAAGGTGGTTTAGTGGCACTATTACCCTAGCTCCAAATTGTTTTTATTTGAAAGAAGTTGGTCATTCTTCAGGAAAGTGATTATAATGTTATTTTTACCTCTTGGCAATTTGGTTTCTTAAATAGCAGATTTTTTGACAGAAATTTAAATATAACAATACATAACTGGCTCAATAATATGAACGTTTATAATTAGCTTATGCTGAGACTGGATGTTGATTTATTGCAGGATTATACACATGAATTCCATAAAACCAAAGCAAACTTTATGGCAATACGGGAAAGGGAGAATCTCATGGGATCAGTACGAAAGGATATTGAGTAAGTTACCTTTTATATTATTTTGTAGGATGTTTATTCAGAATTAGATTTAGAGTATATCCATGATTAACAGCAAACTGATGAGCAGAACCATGATTTAGATTTCAAGGTTTCTAATTTCCATTTCACTGTTCTTTAAACTTTGCTGCTACAGTATGGCCCTAATCTACTTTGCTGGCCTTATCTCCAGCTTCCCATGGTTTTATCATTGGCTCCTGGCAACCTTGACTTTCCTGTCTTAATTCAAAGTCCAGTTTAGATGATGTCTTTGGGAGTTTTTCTCTGATCTACCACCCACCTTGAGAATTATAACATTACCAATAACTGAAGCTCTGTGTGTTTCCCTTCCTGATTACCACCTGTCCCCCTACCCTCTTTCCCTTACGCCAACAATTATATATTCAGGTAGCCATCAAAGTAGTCTTTATTTCCCTAGAATAAAGTCATAATCTTCTGTCAAATTTCTTAAAGACTTCCAACATTTTTATGCTGCTCTCATCCATAATTTTAAAAATATGTTCTTTTCTTCCATCCCTTTACCTCACCTTCCATAATATATTCTGGCATTTCATACACATTTTTGAAAATTTTTTTGCAACTGTGTATGACTGGCAAGGTTAAATCCATTGGGCATTTAATTAAACCTGCAGACTTTGCACTTTTGGACCATCTGTTGATGCCTGTCGTTGTCTCACGTGTGGTAAGTTTATGGTACTTAGGTTTCATAAGTATACTTAGTTTCATAAACTGTGGTATGGACTACCATGTCATAAACTGATACATATCACGTGTACTCTAATAAACATTTTCTTAGAGACCCTTTATTTTGTTGTAACAGTAAAATAGTTTTGTAGCAGAAATCATTTAATATTCATTCTATTCAAAATTTTTGTCCATAACTTTAAACCCAAGAGTATCCAGTCACCAGAATTTCTACCTCCAGAAATTATCTTGGAAAATTGATTTTTATTTTTGTCTCTGTCTTATCTATGTTCTTATCTTTATATATATATGTATATGTATACTTATATATATGTTTATATATAGTCATGTGTACTTTGTGTAACAAATAAGAGTGAAAAAAATGAAACATTTTTGCCATATCAGGTATTTTGTAGTATTTATAGTTCTCAGGAACGTGTAAGTCTTGTGTTTAATTTCTTTCTGATCTATTTATATGTATATTTTGAAGAATGAATTGGGGACAACCTTTAATGTGTAGGCATTTAACTACCCCACAATTTGTGAGAATCACTAGACTACAGTCCAGTGTAATAACTTGCTTTCTGAAAGATGATCATAAAAGAAACATGTTCGTTTATTAAACCATTTCCTGATTGCTAACCATGAGTGAGACGCTGTGTCAGTCACAGTGGAAGGTAGAAATGAAAAGACAGATTGGCCCTCTAGGAGTTTATAATCTGGATACTAGAGGGGAGTAAGGCATATACTCAAATTCATGTCATACATGGCAGAATATGATTAGTGAGATGAGATATAGTGGTAATAACTAATATTTAAAATTTTTTTGCAGTTGCACACTACTTTGTCATGTTATCTCTTTTTTGGCTTCATACAATCTTTTGGTATAGATAGAAATTATTAGTTGCATTTTATGAGACTAGATATTAAGAGGCTTGTCTACGGTTAACTGGCTAATACATGACAAAGTACAGATTTAAATCCAAATGATCAATCTTCAAGTGCAGTGTGCTCTTGGTTATATACCATGCTGCTTTTCCTGGTCCTTTCTTTCCCGCTGTGTTTTGCACATTAGGCCTGCCACTCAGCCAGTCATACAGTTTTAACGGCGTGACCCTCTTTTGTCTTACTGCAGTATATGTGCAATTACTTCAGTTTTTTGTTTTGTTCTTGGTACTTTATTGGAACTAAAGAGCCAAAACATGAAAGTGTTGATAGTGGTGATACAAGCATTTTCTTGTAAGTTGTAATGATCTTAAGACCAAGATAGAAATCCTTAAGTATGCCAAATTGGCAGATCTTTCACTTCATGTTAGTGCTCCTGAGGCTTCAGTTGATGGGCTGCATGTACCATCGTGAAGGAAAACATTCCATTTTAGTGGCTTCCCTACCCAATGTGCTGTGTAGTAATCAGTCTAAAAACTTTGGTTTTACTCCCTCTTGGAGAAAATAAAGATACAGGATAAAATAGACAAAGAAAGGAAAAGTAATGCTCTAAAGCCCTCTGCTTTCCTCATCTTTTACACTGTCTTCCCAAGCCTTACTCTTCAAGATGAGTTTTCTGAAGCCACCCTGTTCTTCCACACCCCACGACACTGAACATGTTCTGCTTCCTTCCTGGAATAATCTTCCACTTTTTATAACTATAAATTGTCACTCATTCTATAGGATACCCTTTAAGGATTTTCTCTCTCTGAAGAATGTCTCTACATTTCTCACAATCTCTCTAATCTACCTCCTACCCTATAGAAATTACTACTCTCTTCTTTTGTACAAATTATTAAAATAATAGTTCCTATTTATACTGAATTACAGTTACATAATTTATGAACCTCTCTGAACTGTGAACAACATGTGGCTAGGTAGCGTATTTCACTGTTATAATGTCTGGTTTCTAACAAATGTTGAAAAAAGATTTGCTGAATTAGTGAATAAACAAATGGATGAGTAAATATTCTCTTCTTATGTACTTTAGTGAGTTGGAATTTTTGGCAACTGATAAAAAATACAGACTTTTAGAAGCATCATTAATAAATGCATATAAAATTTTTAAAAAGAAAGGGAAAGTAAGACTTTTGTTTGTTTAAGAATGTTGGAATATTTGGTGAAAATAATAAAGTCTGAGGCCTAAATTAGAGAGCCATTCATATTTATATATTTATAATAGATGTCATTCTTAGAAGGAGTTGGAAAGGGTTATACATTTTAATTGTTTAATCAAAGCTATGGAGAGGCTCAATTTGTCCACTTTGGATATTACTAGAGTCAGTCCTTTAATCTTTTTTTTACAGTGTCTGCCAAAAATATTCTTAAATTTTCTTTATTTTGTTCTAGGTCATATAAAAGTGGGTCTGGAGTAAACAACAGAAGAACCGAACTATTTTTGAAAGAACATGACCACCTTCGAAAGTATGTATTATTGAATGTATGCATACTATGTAGTGCATACTTATTGATTCATTTACTTGTCTAGCAAATATTTCATGGTGTTTATTATAGTAAGTGCTTTATTGATGCTAATTCATTTAATTCTTCTGATGATCCTATTTGGTAGAAATACATTTGTTCTGACCATAATTAGGAAAGGTATGATGCTGTCAAATATACAAATCTGCATTCACATTACCTGTAATATGTCTTTTATTGCCTTAATGTTTCTTTTCTTTAGCAAGACTATTGTTCTAATACTTTTGTCCACTAATATAGGTTATTAGTAATACTGATAATACTGAAACTGACTTATGTTTGAATGGATTGATACCACTTATATATGTCAAGAAGCTTTATAAAGAGTAATTGGTCATACATCAAATTCAAAGAAAATATCTTATTTTCTAAGAATTCAGAAGAAAATACCTAAAAACTTGGATAACCACATATATATATATATTTTTTTTTTTTAACAAGCCACCGTACTCTATCCCTGCTTTATCTGTTTTTCCTCTGAAATGTACTGGTTTCTTTATTTTCTTTGTATTTTGTTGTAGAACTTAAGGATCAGAAAATTACTTATCTCTGTGAGCTCAGCCTCTAAGCACTTGAGCAGCTAGTATCCGTGATACTTAAATGATATGAATTATGTTGATATTTGCTGCTGGATGTCATAAATTAGTCATGTCTGTATAAGCTTAATGTACTGTTCAATTTATTTTTCTTTAAAGATCACCACTTTAGGGAGAAGGTATAGCTCAAAGTGGTAGAGCGCATGCTTAGCATGCATGAGGTCCTGGGTTCAATCCCCAGTACCTCCTCTAAAAAAAGTAAATAAATAAGTAAACCTAATTACCTCCATTCCCACTCCTACCCCTCCAGAAAAAACCTAAAAAAAAGATTAGCACTTTAAATATAAGCTGTTGAAATCAGAACACGGAAAGATCAAAACTTTTTTAGAAGTCTGGGTGCTTCTAGTTTCAGAAGTAGATTTTAGTGTTTTCTTAACGTGTTAAATATTATGATTGGCACAAGGGGGCAGTCTTTCCTAGAGTATTTTAGTTTATAGCTATTTATAGCTTTGGTAGTTCTTTTTGTGTTTGAGAGACCACCATAAAAAGAATTTTTTGGATGTTTGCATTACATCCAAAACTATTATTTTTGGGGAGTACAGAGTAATTTGAGGGATAAGGTAACTCAAATAGCACAAAGTAAAGACTAGATTGCATTAACATTCTTGTATTTGTTACCCTAAAAAAAGTTACACAGAAATGCAATCGTTTAATTACTTTTAAGAATTATTTGATGCTGAAAAGAGTATACCAGAGTTATTATATAAATTAATATCCTATATTTCATTATTTCAGAACACACTGTTTATTAAAATTTTACATGAAAATTTTCAGTTTTGCATTTATTTTAATAATTCAAAGAAAACCCTTTAAGAGTTTAGTATTGTCCGTTGTACAGGAAAAAAACAACAATTTAGGGGCACACAGCTTAAATAATTTGTTTAGGGTTATAAAAAAATGACAAGATTGGCAGTCAAAAGATTTTTTCCATTTTTGTTTCTCAGATTATTTTGTATATTATGTAATATATATATATATATATATATATATTCCTTTCAGCATTCTTGTAAAAAAGGTTGTCTGTGCTCATTCCATACAGAGAGAAACTGAGGCAGAATGAAGCTGAATGGAATATGAGCTGATGAATGGGGAGAATTGTGGAGACCAGGGCTTAGTCTCAGCAACAAGGACCTAGTCGTTGCTCTCAGTACTAGAACACAGAGCTTCCAAATACGCTTTAGAAAAATCAGTATTTTGTGTAAATCACAAACACTTGTTAGATAATAAAATTAAGGACTAATATGTGTGTAAAGTAATATGAAAAACTTTCTCTTTTTTCAGTATTGTCTCTGTATTTCATTTGCTAGGTGCTTTGAGGAAGAATTTTTTTAGAATAACTTTTTAATAAAAAAAGTTATATATATGCTTTAGAGCACTCATTTATAAAATATGAATAATTCAGCAACACAAAAAAGACAATCTAAATCACTCATTAGTATAGATGCTGTAACCATTTTTACTCATCAGTAGATTGTGAACCTTTTCCCATGGTATTTGACAATTTTTTGTTTGTTTTTGAATAGTTCTTTTAACTTTTAATAGTGCACATATCCTATAGTACAGATAAACCATAATTCATGTAACCATTTCACTAATGTTGGCCTTTTGGATTACTTCTAGCTTTTACTGTACATATTGCAGTCTGCGTGTATCCATAATTATTTCCATATAAATTCCTGGAATTGGAATTGGAGGATTAAAGAACATATTCATTTTTAAAGCTTTTGATATGGTATTGTCAAATTTTTCTCTGAAGGTTTGCTACTTTAGAGTCCCTTTAGTAGTAGTCTACCAAAGCCCTCAGTAACACTGATATTTTGGGGTTTTGTTTTTTTTTTAATTCATGCTATGAAGATAGGCAAAAATTCTTAGGCAGCAGATTTTTTTTCCTAATATAAGAAATACATTTTCATTAGAGAAGATATAAGTTAAATAGTCAAGCAAAGAAGCATAAAGGAGTAATAGTTAAATTAACCTGAAAGTGAGATGGACAGCAAGAGATTATGTATTTCATCCAGCCCATTTATAATGAGGAGGCCAGGTTTGCTACTAGGGTACTTTTTATTTTGAATCTAAACAGATGTGAGTTTAAATCCTGGTGTGGACTGTGTATTTTGGGATGGGGGCCTTAAACTCTCTGACTCTCTACTGTCTTAAATGGAGAAAATTTAGCCCTTACTTTGCAAAGTGTTACAACAATTAGCAATGACATGTGTAAAGTTTTAACCTAGTACAATGTCTGACATGTAGTAGACCAGCTTTCAAATTACATTGACCCGTCCTTGCCCATAGTGGCATTAGAACAGAAGAGTAGACCGGTAGACAAGAACTGTGTATGGAGAGCTAGGTGACAGAGACTCCAGCCCTCTGGGGTCCTTCACTGCAGAGGTGGCATGTAGGAGTAGATGAATATCAGCTAACCCTGCTTATCTCTTAAAGCCAGAGTGTATTTTTAAATCATTCTCTTCTCATTAGATGTTCATTAGCATAATGAATGGTTTATTCATTACTTTTAGGCAGGAGTTCTCAAATTCTGATTGCATTCCATCTGTTTCTTTGCATTTATCTGAAAGCACATATAATTTTTTGTACCAGTTTTTGTTGTTGTTTATTGAGGTAAGGATGGTTTATAACATTTATAAGTTTCATATGTACAACATATTTCTGCCTCTGTATATGCTACAGTGTGCTCACCACCAGAAATTTAGTTGGCATTTTTCACCATACAGTTGATTCCGTTTACCCATTTCATCTTCCCCTCCCCTTACCCTGTAGTAACCTCTGCTCTTTTCTCTGTATCTGTGTGTTTTTGTTTGGTTTGTTTATTTATTTTGTTTTTTTGTTGTTGTTTTTTATATTCCACACACGAGTAAAATCATACAGTATTTGTCTTTCTCCACCTGACTTATTTCACTTAGCATAATACCCTCAAGGTCCACCCATGTTGTCACAAATGGCAAGATTTCATTATTTTTAGTGACTGAGTAGTGTTCCATTGTATGTATATACTACATTTTCTTTACCTATTGAGATACCTCATGCCTGTAGAATGGCTGTTTTCAAAAAGTCAAGAAATAACAAATGTTGGTAAGGGTATGTTGGTGAGAATGTAAATTGGTGCAGCCACTATGGAAAACAGTATGGAGATTCCTCAAAACATTAAGAATATTTAACTACCGTATGATCCTGCTATTCCATTTCTGGATATTTACCCAAATAATATGAAAACACTAATTCAAAAAGATGGATGCACCCCTTTGTTAATCACAGCATGAGTTATAATAGCCAAGATATGGAAACAGTCTAAGTGCTCATTATCGGATGAATGGATAAAGAAGATGTGGTATATATATTCAGTTTTCATTGTTTTACCAAGCATTTTTTGGACATCTACAGTGTGGAAAGCATTGTACTAGGTACTGGAGATAGAGAAGAGATAAAGCCTAGTCGCATTCTGCCCTGTTTTCAATGAGCTCCACTAGGATGGCAGTGGAGTACGGAACAGAAATGTTAACAGGTAATTACAGTGCAAAGTAATAAAGCTTTAATACATGGAGAGATTTGTGCTTACTTCTATAGAGTCACATTAAAGGGAGTGGTTAACTCCTCTCTAAAGCTTCTGAAAGGGCTTTGTAGAAGTAAAACATTTGATTTGAGCCTTGAAGGATGAGTATTCAACAAGTAGACATAAGAAAAGATTTTGGGAAAAGATGAAACTTGAACCTTATTACCGTATTTTTTTAATCTGTATCATTTCTGGTAAGTTATCAATATGGATATATTAGAAATATCATTCATTTATTGCCTGTCTACAAACTCTCTCCCAGATTACAGGCCTTCCTCATGGTCCTAAAAGGGCAGCCTCATATATGCAGCAAGAGGAAACAGTGGAGGGGTGAACTGAGAGATCATGTGGAGTTAGTCTGAGGCTACTATTTTTTTTCATAAAGCAAATATACAAGGTATAATTTACTTATAATAAAAATGTACCCATTTTAAGTTTCCAGTTCAGTAAGTGTGAGCAAATGTATACACTCTTAACTGCCCAACATAGTCAAGGTACAGAATCTATTACCCACCAAAATTCCTTATTCCCCTTTGTAGTCAGTCCTTGTCTCCCAGTCCCAGACAGCTGCTCATCTTTCTGTCACTATGGATTAGTTTTACCTTTTCCAGAATTTCATATAAATGAATTCATACAATATACACTTCTTTCACTTAGCATAGTGTTCCTAAGGTTGATCTGTTTTTTGTCAGTAGTCAGTTCCGTTCTATAACTGAATAACTTCCATTTATCATGGTATACCACAATTTGTTTATCCATTCACCCATTGATGGATATTTGGGTTGTTTTAAATTTGGGGCTGTTACAGATAAAGCTGATGTGAACATTCCAGGACAAATTTTGTGTGCTCATGTTTTCATTTCTCTTGAGTAAATACCTAGGAGTTCTGTTGTTAGGTTGCATGGCAAGTGTAAGTTTATGATTCACTTCATAGGAAACTGTTAAGCAGTTTTCCAAAGTAGTTGTCCCATTTTTGTATTCCCATCAGTACTGTATTGAGAGTACTAGTTGCTTTAAATCCTTGTTAACACTTGATATTGTCAGTCCTTCTGTTTTAGCCATTCTAGTAGGTGTGTAATATATTCTCATTGTGGTTTTAATTTGCATTTCTCTAACGGCTGATGATAAGTATCCTTTCAGGTGCTACGACCATTTGTATATTTTCTTTAATGAAGTGTCTATTCAAATTATTCTTTCGCTCCTTTTTTAATTGGGCTGTTGGACTTATTACTATTGAGTTGTAAGAGTTCTTTTTCTGGATACAAGTCCCTTGTCAGATAGAAGTTCTGCAGATAATTTCTTTGAACCTGTGACTTGCCTTTTTGTTTTCATAATGATGACTTTCAAAAGATCGAAGTTTATACATTTTGACGAATTTCAGTTGATTGATTTTTTTCTTTTATAGTTCATTTATTTTCAGCCTAAGAAATCGTGGCCTATCCTAAGGTTGCAAATATTTTGTCCTTTGTTTTCTTTCATAAGTTTTATAGTTTTAGCTTTTATATTTAGGTTTGTGATCCATTTTCACATTGTTTTGTGTATATCCCTTACCTTATCAGGGGTCATTCATATAATGGAGAACTGAGTTTTTCGCCTGTGAAAACTGGTAGCATTGGTTTCACTATATGTCTATCATTCCACTCATGGGGTAGTTTAAAATTACATGTCAAAGCTCCATTGTCTTCAGGTGGTACAGTTGTCTGCCATATTGAAATAAATGATAAAGCAAATTGATATTGCCCTGAGCAATACTTTATTTTCATATTCATGTGGTAATGTCCAGTTTTACAAAGCAGAATGACCTTGGTAGGAGCTTTTATACAGAACTCATTTTTTTTTTCACCTGGAGCTATAGTGAAATCAAATTCATCTTCAGTTGGTACCTGACTTTGTTAAACAGTAAAACTTGAGTTGGCAGTGCTCTGCAATAGTGAGGAATTTTCTCTTCCCAGATGTGTTTATATAACATATATATATCCTCCTTGCCCACTGTGGAAATTTATAAGGATTATTTCTCTGATATTTTATTGATCCAGCTAGTGTCTAATTTACTCATTTAGTCATTCATTTATCAAGCATTTAATGAATGTCTCCTGTGTGCTGGGTACTGTACTAGACTCTAGGGAATCTAAGATGGATCAGACTCAGTCTCTACCCTGTGGGAACTCATTCTGGTTAGAGACATAATAAACATATCACTATGATAGCCTGTGAAATAGGACATTTTTTAAAGTATTAAATGAGATAACATGTGAAAAAAGGTTTACAAATTTAAGATGTTTTTCCTCCAGTACATAGTGTGATGTCTGATATGTCTTAAATGTTTGTTATATTTTTGAATGAATTGATGAAAAGCAAAGAGCTATGAAAACATAATATTATAGTATAAAGAAGAATTAATTCTGCCCAGATGTACAGGTAGAATGAGGAAGGCTTCACAAAGGATATGTTGATACTATGTTGAGAATCAGGATGCAGAACAAGAAAGAGATTGTGAGGCATGAAAGTGCCTTAGTCTGTATCAGCCGTGTGTCTTATACAGCTCACACAATACTTATTTACATCATCTTCTGAGCCTTGTGACAACTCCATGAAGTGAGTTCATACAGTTAAGTGCTTGAGCCTTGACTAAAACTCAGGTTCTAGGGTGTAAGAAAAAGCAGCTAGCCATTTTGTTTTTTACAGTTTCATGAATGTCATGATTGCTGATATTATTGGATTTCTATGATTATATTTATGAAACAATTGTTTTGAGTTATAAGTATATGAGAGAGAAACATATATATATAATGAAAATATAGTTCCATTTTATTTATATAAGTAGATTAACTTATGGATACATAAGGGTTTTTTTTTAGAGGTTTCAGAAACAAATTAGAAAATATTTGCTTAATACTTCATAGATTCTTTATGATTCAGGTAGTTCTTTTAGGATTTTAGAATTTCAGTCCTTTTTTTACCATTTATCTGAAGAACAACAAATGGAAACTGATTCCTCACAACCAACTTACCTGTAAATTCCTTCCTAAAATGGATTTTTTGAGGAGTCCTGTCTTTCCAATAAGTGATGCATGGAGGCAGATATTTTACAGTTCAAAGGTGCATTGGGGTCTTTATTCAGCTTCTCGAATTCTAAAGTGTGGCAAGCTGAGATTTGGTTTTGTTTCTCAAAAAATAAAGAAACTTTAAGGTATAAATAATTACTACGTACAGGCATCAGAACTATATTTGCCTGTCTTGTCTCAACAAGTTGGTTGTAACTCTTAAGTTTTGGGTAGGTGGTCATGACAACTTTGAGCTGTCTAGATTAAAGGTTTTATTTATTTGCACTGTCATTAAAACTATTCTGACTTACATCATCAAGTAACTCTGTGAAAGAAATAGATTTAAGCCAACAAGTAAAAATAAGATGAAAATTATACGTGGATTAATTAATTTCAGAGTCCAGAATTTTCTCCAGATGCTTTCAAAAGTCTGGGCTTCTTTTTACATAAATGGCTGGAAAAGTAATCTATTGGTAAATTGTAGAAAAATTAAGTGCAAATTTTAAATGTGTTTTTAATAATTCCAGAATTTGAAATTTTTTTATTTGCAGCTCAGATCGTCTAATAGAAGAGACAATCAGGTAAGAAAAATGCTTTGTTTTTGTTTGCACATGAATGAACAGATCAGGTTAATCCTGTAACTAGAGTTAAAGTCAGTTCATTGTCCTTAAAGATGAGGCTTTCATTATATGGTAATGTATTTACTGTGTCTTTCCCTTATAAGATAAGATATATTTGAAGCCTGAAACATGTGTTTCTGGAATTAACTAGAGTTAGGCTGTTTTACCTAGGTTAATTTTCTGATTAAGTTATACTCAATATTTTTAGCCTCAATCTTTTTATTCTCACTTTTAAAAAGAAAACAGTCTTAAGCATGTGATTTGATAATGCTTTAAATCTAACTTTTATGTAGACTTGATTTCTGTTACAGTAGCTGTAGAAATCTGCATTAATTAGTATTATCTGTAATAATATTCAAGTAGTGTCTTGCTTAAGGTAAGGGAAATTTGTTCTTTGGTTTGAACTGCTTAACTCCCTAGGTTTGGTGAATTTTTAAATACCTATTTTATGACAGTAAAAAGGTAAGTTAACTAGCTATGATCTCAGTGCTTTAGAATTCAGCAATGTCTAAAGCACTGTGTTTCAGGAAAGCTAAAATGAAGTAACAGCAGCAAGCGTTTGTATTCCTACTATAGATTTTGATACTGTGTTCAAGTGCTTTACATGCTTTATTTTATTTAATCTTCTCAATAACCTATGAGATAGTATATAATGATCAGTGCCTATCTCCAAAACAAAAAAAGAAATTAAGGTAAGTAATTTGCCCACGGTCACATAACTAATAGATAGTATCGAGGATTCAGATCCTCAAATCTGAGTCTAACTCTAGAGCAGTGCTCATTCTAAACCACTACTGTATTTACTATCGTACAGAAAGAGGCCAAGCTTTGGAGTGTGAGTTGGTTTGGAACCTGGCTGTGCTACTTATTAAATCTCTGTTCTTGGATAAGTTAGTTGGAGCCTTCATTTTCTTACATGTTTAAAAACATGGGATTGATGATTATACCTCCCCTAAAAGATTGTTGTGAAGATTGAAGGTAACATGAGTAAAATGCCTCGCACAATACCTGGCTGGTACTAGGTAATCTGAAAATGGTAGCTCTATTATTAATATGTTTTTTAAACCTTTTATTTTAATATCATTTCAGATTTCAGAAAATTTCTAATAATACAAAGGATTTCCATATTACCCTTTACCTGGATTCACATTTGTGTTTTCACAATTTTTGTTTTTCCCTTTTCATATTTTGAGTCATTCATTCATTCATTCATTCTAGATCTGGACCATTTTCTGAGCTTTTTTTCTTTTTAATGGAGGCACTGGGGATTTAATCCAGGACGTCGTGCATGCTAAGCCAATTTTTGTTCCTGAACTACTTGAAAATAAATTATAGGCATGGTGCCTCTTCACCCCTAAATATTTCAGTGTTCATATCCTAAATATTAATTTATGTTGAAATGGACATATCGATTGTTATTTTATTTAGTAGATTATAACATGTTCCTATCATTATTTAATAATCTTAATAAATCTTTTATAATAATATACATCTATCATATCTTAGAATTTTGTTTGAATTGCATGTACTAGGTCTTCCATCTGAACAAAGTGTTCACAGAATAGCCTAATTGTCAACTGATACATCTCCATTGTGACACCTTCCCTTTCTTCAGTACATAAAGTCAGGTCACATTTTGCCAGATTCTTTACTTTAAGCTTCCCTATAACCCTTTTCCTTTTTTTTCCCCTTTTATTTCCTCCTTTCTGCTTCATCTTCTATGGCCAAGCTGCCTTAAACTTCTCAATTCAAAGCTGGACTTTTTAGGGGCTGGTAGTATGAGTGTAAAAATTTGGAGTACCTCATAGGATAGAAACAGTTGAGAAGCGTCGAATCACTGATACTGTTATTTTGCTAGTTAAAAGCAAAAAATATTTAATTAGAAGGGCTTTTATTTCACTATTTTTCTTTGTTTCAAAATATGATGGGTATCACAAATGAAATTTTATTGAATATATAGCTAGATATGATTACTTATGGATAATATATAATTTAAGTGTCTAATTATTTTTCTTTTTCTTTATGGAAAATTTGACCTTTCCCTTTGGAACTGTTTTTAAAATATGTACACAACAATATAAACAGGCATCAATTTATTGAAAAAAATTAACATTTTTAATATTAGTAATTTTATTTGTAATAATTTAATAAGTGTGTTCTTAAACTTTAAATGTATAACTAGTATTGTCTGTTGTTGCAAAAATAAATGTCTAAGTTTAGTTCACAGAACAGGTAAGAAAGTTGAAGTTCCAGTAAACACATCAATAATTTATCATTTTAAAAGCATTATATATTATTTGGAGCTTATGTTTCACCTCTGTTTATTTGACCCTTGAAATAACAGCCTAGATTTCACTCAGCTTCAGTCCAAATGATGGAATGAGATGGGAAAGTATATCTATCTAGATATACTTTGTGTGGTACTGGAAATCATGCATATTCAACAAGATAATAACATAATGTATGATGATAATATCCGTTCTCCAAGGAATACAAAGTGCTTTGCGGAAATGATTTTTTAATTTTCTCTCTCTACTTCTGACTCAAAGTGCACAGGAGATGGTGATAGTCCCAGTTTAAAAAAACAGGCATTTATGATGCAAAGATTGGCCTCAGGTTGCTCAGCTCAGGTTTGACTTCTGTTACTTTACACAAAGCCCTAATACCTATTTTTAAAAACCCTGTAAATTAAATTTATTACAAAACAACCACATTTTAAACGTATCATATTCTATTATAGACATACACTTAACCTGAAAAATTATGAATAAGAAATAACGATACAAAGCATGTTGTTAATTTGACTCTTCTTGTGATCTTTTTTCTTTGTTTCAAGTTGACATCACCTACTTCCTTCTGCTCCAGTCTTGACTGGTTGTGCCCTAGACCTGCTGCATTCACTGTTCTGGTCCTCGGATGTCCTTTCACCATTATCCTAAAATGACTTCCTTTATTGGATCACCTATTTCTTGGATTTAGTGTCTTCCACTTTCTTAATTTATAGATTTATTTTTGGACTTTGCACATTTAAAAAAGTCTCTATTCTACCCATATTCTTGATTCACTATTTAGCTAAGATACAGAAATCTAGGTGGAAAATAATTATGAAATTTTTGAAGGCAATGTTTCTAGTACTGCTTTTTAAGTCCATTGCCAGTTATAAGTTCTGATCCTTTGTATGTGATAAGCTTTTTCCTTCTGGAAGCTTTTAGGATCATTCCTTTTCCCCTGTGTTTTTGTTTGTCTTTAATCTCACCAGGATGAGCTTGACATTCATCTTTTTTTACTCCATTGCACTAAGCATTTGGCGGATCCTTACAATCTGGAAACTTGTTTTCAGATTTGAGATTTTGTTTGTTTGTTTATCATTTTCTTCCCTCCTTTTTCTTGATACTTTCTTACCTTTTCTCTGTTTTCCTTTTTTTTTTTTCCTACTTTCTGGAAGTTTACTCAGTTTGTCCTTCGACACTTCTTTTACATTTTTATTTCCACTCTCCTTTTTGTAATTTACTCTCAAAAGGGATAGATACACACACATGTTTATATGTTTGTGTGTTTCATAGATGTGATCTTATTTTACCTCTCAAAGGACAGTAAATATAATTTGATTTTTAGAGTTTCATGAGCTTCCTCTATTGCCACTATTTCCTCAGACTCACTTTCTGTTTGCTGGTTAGTTTGTGGATCTCTGCCTTTTATGTTAGAGGCTTCCCTTAAATGTCTGGTGACCCTTGGCTGTTCCTTGATATTTAAGGGTGACGCTCCAAATCTAGTGACTGGAAGCTCATTCTTTGTGCATGGCTGGTAGGACTTGCTGAGTGGTAGGTTTCACAATGAGTGATCAGGAAGGGACCTGGCTGTTTCACTGGGACTTCAAAATCTCGGTTATGTCTTCTACTGAACTGAGGGCAGTCACCTGACTGCATGGTTTGGGGAAGGTAATTTAGGGGTCTGACAACTCCTTTTACAAATTTCCACACATTTTCATTCTGTCTTCAGATACACTTGATCTCTTTGATTCTTTAGATTTAGATTCTTTAGATTTTCTAGAACCTGAGAAAACTTTATAAGTCGTTACTTGACTTACAGTGGTAGTGAGTTAAGTAACAGTAGGAGATTTGGTGCTAACGTTTCTTAATCATTCAGGTGAAATTCCTCTAATTTTCTTTTCAATTTTCTTTATTAGATATTTATATATTATCAAAGTAATAATGTTACTATTGTAACAATTTAAATTATTCTAAAATGTATAAAGAAAAGGTTTATCTCCTGGCAGTGTCCCTCCATTCTGCCCCTTGAAACAACTTGTATTAACTGACAGTTGTATATCTTTCTCACTGTCATACAGGCACACACAAAGATGATTTGAGTGTTTCTTCAAATGAAAAAGGACTCATACTCTACACATTCTGTGGCTGACTTTAATCATTTAGTATATCATAAACATCCCTCCAGGTTGATAGAAATAATACTGATTCATTTTTTTAATAACCAAATTTTATTTCATAGTATGGTGGTTATACCATAATCTACTAAACCATTCCAGTGTTGTTTCCAGGTGTTTGTTTATTTGTTTTGGTGGAGGGGTGTTTTTTGTTTGTCTAATACTATTCCAAACAATACTTGTTTTTTAATACATCTCCCTGCACACTTTTGTCTCTTCTTTGCCCTCTCAAATCTCAAAATTTCAGTTTTGATTTATCTGTCATTTGCTCAGAGTACTCCCTCTAGCATTTTTCTCCAATAGGATGCCTGGTCTTGCCTGCTTGAAAATGTGTTCAGTTAGCTCTCTGGTAGGCCAGGCTATTGGAGACCCTAAAGCAGTGACATACCAGGTGGTGGTAGATGGCCCAGCAATTTACTGTCTTAGCGGCTGATTGTCACACTGGCTGGTAGTCAGCTGTCTGCTTATAGGTCTTTCTGGCTGTGTGTAGCAGTCCTCTCCCAGCTGTAAGAACTGGGAGCAGTTCAGTTAATCACTGCAGCCCCTGTACCTGCAGATGCATGTCCTCCACTGTCTTGGCTCCTTAGGACTCAGTGACACGTAGGCTTTGCCCCCGGCTTGAAGAAGAGTACAGTCTTCCCTGCCCTTAGTTCCCTGGTTCTTCCCTTGCTTGAGAGAGTGTAGCCCTCCCTGGCTGTCTTCCTTAGAGATCTCAAGAGAACCTGGGACTCAGATGGACCCTCCCCAGCAGGTCTGCCTTTGTTCTTGTGTTCTTCCAATGGAGGAAACTGGGCCAGAGATAAGGTCAGGAATTTGTCCTCTGACCACCATCTTCCCAGAATCTCTTCATTTCTGTTCCTTTTTTGAAAAATGTTTTACATATTTTCATAATTCTTCAAGAACATTTTATTTCTTATTACTTTTTATAAGCCAGTATCTAAAACACTCCCCTGTGTATTACATATCAAAATGGATTCTGACCCTGCCCTCTAGGATGCTAATATCCAAGGAGGTAAGACTAATGAAAGTTAATCCTGGCAGTGATAGCAAAAAGGTATTAACTGGGATTCCTTTAAAAAGCACATCAAGGTAGTCACATGGAAGAAACTATACAAAGAATGAAAAAGTCACTTCTTTTCTTTCTCAGTTGTTTAATGAAATCTGTGACCTTTGTCACCTGACTTGGACACCAGCATAATGTGCATGTGTGTCCTAAAATCTGCTCGGTTGGTTCTCAAATAGAATTTTGGAACATAATGTTTTCATAAATTTAGGGCTGGTTATATATGAGTATTTTGTGATATATTACACTTTTGGTTGTATTTTTATGTTTGTAATTCCCTACTTCCCTCAGAGTTTTTCCTGATTAAGGATATTTTAGTACCTGGCTCGTTTTAAAACTGTTTTAAGAAGCTTTCATAATATGTGATTTGTCAGTTGCCTTATTTCATTTGTTACTTTGAAGGAAAAAAGAAAAACCACAGGAAATGGCTTACTGCCTTGTCCAGAAAGATATCAAAGGATAGCAATGGGGATGGAGGGGTCATTCAGAAAAAGGACAGTGGGAAGATGAGTTGGGAAGTGATTGTTTTTCCATGTTCCTGCCCAGTGCTTTTCAGAGGTGATGTTGCTCACCTTAGTTTTCTGTTTACTTTTAAAGATATGATGGATCCATGCAAGATAATCTTAAATGTCAGTTTAATGAGCTTCTCTTTTTCTCACTTGCAGCATTGCTATGGCAACAAAAGAAAATATGACTTCACAGAGAGGAATGTTGAAGTCAATTCAGAGTAAAATGAACACTTTGGCCAGTATCCTTTCTGAAAGTTTGAAATCTGTGTCTTTTAGGGGGAACAAATCTGTGTCACCGCTTCTCCCTCCCCCTTCCCCCCGGGCAGGTTGCCAGCTTCAGTCTCAGTAGAGGCCATCAGTAATTACAGATTAAGAATATACCCTGCATTCCTACTTTATGAAAGTCCATCCTGTTTAGTGCCGTTTCTAAAAGATTGCACGCCAGAGGTTTACTATTAGTAGATCTAGAAAAAAAATTAGAAATGTGATTTTTCAAATTATTCACAAAATTGTTTTATATTTTAAAAGCTCTTGCATCCATATTAGAACCCCATAGTATATACTATATTAATGTAAACATCATAAATTATGAGCCTTTTCTTCTCGGTTTGGAGAGTAAGTCAGTGCAGATGCTTCTAAGGGGAGGGACAGCTATACGTGTGGGTGAGTTGTAACTGCTGATAGAGCATTTCCATTGTGACTTGTTCTACACAAGCTGAATTCTAGGATAGATTCGCTGCTTGTCTGTTGTGACTTCTACCTTCTTAATTCTTCAGTTTCCCAATTTAAATTAGTGTTACTAATACTTCTGAGAACCCCAGCAGAGAAACTGATAAGCCTGCTAAGGTAAAACATTTTGTTTACTCTGAGAAGTCAAACCTTTTAGAGAAAAAGTTTCCTTCCCCAATTACTAATGAGGACAGGACCTGTGATTTTCAAAAGTTGAGTATCTTCTGGTTCCTGGATAATTTCAGGTCGCTTTTAGTTTGATACCTTATTTGCCTGAGGAAAAGAATATCCTGAAGTGTGTTGTAATATCCTACAGGTTTTTGTGAATTTTGTTCTTGCATTGTCACCCTAAGTATAAAACCGCATATCCAAAATCATTTCTGTTTTATTCAGGGCTCGACGGTTTACAGAGTACTGTTATATTCATTACCTCATTTTATTATTATTACCACAAATTACAATTGTTCCCCAAAAATATTTTTTAAAAAATCAAATAAAATGGGTACAAGTTAGTCAGGACACTGCAGAGAGGTAGTAATAAAAACCTAATTCAGGCTGACTTAAGGGAGAGAATTAATCTGTTCATGTATCTGTAAAATTCAGGGGTAGAGTTTGACGTAAGGTATGTCTGGATTCAGGGGCTCAGATTTTGCCCGTGACTTCATGCCTCCTTTCGCATTTTAAAAATTGTTTCTGCTTATTGTCCTCTCTTTTTCATTAACTAATTCAAAACGCACATTAAAACCTGCAGTGTGTAAAGCTCTATTCAATACGCACAGGAAAATTCAAGATTAGAAGGAAACATGGGCCTACACATACAACATGTAGATTATATAAATACACAGTACAGTCCCTGCTGAGGGTCATTTCATTACAGGAAAATGCAGTGAGGGTTCAGCAGGAGTTGGGATTGGTCTGGCTCCCTTGTATCCAGCGTGGTTTTGTTGGTGCTTTTCCTGACCTTGATATACTACCTCTGTTAACAAAGAGGATGCACCTGCAGGCGTGTGGTCAGAAACCAGCGCTAGAAATACAGAACACTATAGGACACACAGGCAAGTGCTTTGATCTACAGCATAGAAACAAGTAAGACAGGAAGATACTTTGCAGTACTGAGTGAAATACGGCTGTGACCTCTGTAAAACCCCTAAATTTGAGCATTTCCTATCTTTCCTTTTTTTATGTTTCTCAAATAGGACAGCTAGAGCAGTTGAGCCCACTTTTTTTTTTTTAGCAATATCCTGCCTCCTGCTGCAAAGTAAATTGAGAATTTTAAATAATTAACCAGTGCTTAATTATACAGACACTAGAGTTGGTTCCCACTAATTGCCTGAATCCAAGGGGGCCTGGGTACTCCTCAAAACCCTCTGGCAAAACTTCCCAGTCTCCTGAGAGAAGGGGTTAAAAGAGAGAGAGAGATGAGGAGAAAAGGAAAGGCAGGAACCTCAGGGTGGTGGTAGTGGTAGTAGCTGGCTGCACCGTCTGTGCAGGGTTGCTCTGTTCCTGACCACGCTGACTCCCTGTCGGACCTGAAGCCTGGCGATAGCCCCTGGGTACCAGCCAGCTGTCATCATTGTTACTTTCTTCTCCCTCTCTCTCTATCAATTTTTTTTTTCTTCTCATTGTTCTTACTTGTGTACTGCAGTGTACTGGGAGACTTGAATTTGGGACCTTAAGTGGTAGGCATGTGTGTTTGCTCAAACGCCCTCAGTGTGATTTTCTTTTCCTGTTTCTTTTTGTTATTTATCATTCCTGTACTCCACTTATCTCTATTTTTGTGTTTCTTGTGACTTTTCACTTAAGAGGCTTCTTCCAAATATGACCTTAATAAAGACTTCCCAAAGATCGTTTTCCTGCTGTGAACAGCCTGATCCAGCGGATCAACCTTAGGAAGCGGCGAGACTCCCTCATCCTGGGAGGAGTTATTGGTGTCTGTACCATCCTCTTGCTGCTGTATGCGTTCCATTGATGGGACATCTCCAGGGACTCTTGACAGCCACCACTTTCACACCCTGATCTGGAATAAGGAAAAATAGGAAGGAGAAGTTGACTGACCTGATAATTAGCCTGACCAGCAGGATTAATTCAAGACTGATAGTGCTGGACTCTGTGACATGGTCAGGTTGAGCTGAAGTCACAGGTTTTCTGTGCTGTCTTTTCTAACACACATTTCCTTCTGTTTTTAGTTTTTTAAAAAAATGTTTTCAGTTGCTTTTGTCTCACCAAGAGGTAAGTAAGCCCATCAGAAGCAGAGTTTCTGTGCTTCAGTGATAGTGTTGAAGGCTGATGACAAGGCAGGTCTTACCCTTCAGAAAACCAAGTTTTTCTCTATCCAGAGACTGCTCTCCTTTCAGCCACCAGATGGGGTTGTGAATAAACATAGTTTTTGTCCTTTTATGTTACACTCATCATGAGAAATCACAAGTCATTTCTTAATAATCTGTGATATAAATTTCTACTCTTTGTCTCCAACTCTCTTGGTATTCAAGAAAAATTACATTTTTCACAGAATGTTTGAGATGCTGACAGGCCAACTTCAACACAGTTGAGGTTGTCTGAAACAAGACAAGCACTGCAAAACTTTTTTTCTTTTTTTTTTTAATCATGCACACACTGAGGTTAACTGCGTTGCTGGAAAAACATCAAGAATGACAGGCTTTTTTTACAAAGTCAGTCATTGTTTAGGGGTTTTTGTTTATTTCTTTCATTGGATTAATATTTGCTACTACAAGGAAATGAAATCTCAGTTCTGCCATGACAACAAGCCATGTCTATCAGTGCCCCCAACTATTGCTCATCATGTCAGGATTAACACGTGAGGAAGACAACTGAGTGAGGAGGCTGCTCGATTTTCAGTGAGGTCTCTTTAACAAGCCACATGTAAAAAGACACTGAGTGAGGGGTCACCATCCAGATAATTCCATTTATAAATGTTCCACAACTTATGAGCAAAAGTTTAAGAACCACCTTCTGATGTACCAGGAATTCTGTGTTCTGTGAAAACCCATTCATTCCAAATCTGTTAAGCTTTTCCAAACATCCAGAGAATGGTTTTACTGTTGAAGGTGCTTAAGACAGAATCTGTCTCTGTCTGCACCTGTCTTCTATTACCATCCCTGGACATTGACAAAATTTTAAACCACCCACCAGAATTCTTTTCAAGTTTAACCATTTCTCAGTTTCTGTATTATTTGTCTGTCTAAACGGCCACAGTTCGGAGACTTCTAACATCTACACTCCTCATCAAGAAAGAAAGCTGTTCTTCACCTTTGGAATTTACTATGGTATTTTAGTCTTGGTTTGAGACTCTGCCACAGGGAGTAAAAGGATATTAGGATGTAACTACATCACAGTGTATTGACGGTGACGTTCAGATGAACTTGATACACGGGCTGGTGGGTAGACTAACCCCTGTCTAGTACAGAAACTGAGAGATTTTTCATTCTGGTGTCAAAAGTTTTATTATGTTCTGGGTATGAAGAGCATTTGATATATATTTTTTAAACTATGGGGTTTTATTTTTCTAAATATGGGTTGGTTGATCAGTTAGTTGATTGGGGATGCCCTTAAAAGAAAGTTTAAGCTTTCCCAGTGTGAACCTTAAAAGATCAGAGAAGTAAGTTCATCTATTAAATTCTCTGTTGGGAGAACAAACTTCTCTCCCCTGATACTTTATTATCTTTGATTTTTCAAAGGGTTTTGATCGGTTATTGTGCTTCAACTAGAATTTATGGGATTTGGTTGCTATGTAGTTGGCATTTATAAAATCTGAAGTATCATAAATAAAGTTATTTATTTAATTATACTACCAGTCTTTTTTACTGGTCTGATTATTTGGTGCATTCATTAAAGCTGATGGTATGAGAGTAAAACGAGGACCCAGCTCATCTAGCTTTGCTGCACCTGAGCAAATACTTTGGATGACCAATGAGCCTTTGCATTAGGGTTATGCTTAAATGAAGTAATAGAATTATATTAGTTATTTTCTTAATGAAAATAAAGAAATTAGTTCTTCCAAGGAAGTTGAAAAAGCGTGGTGCAGATGTGGGTGTCAGGTGGGTCTGACTAACCTCCCAGCGCTGTAGCCCAGAGTGAGGTGACCCAGGGCCGAATGCAGATGGCTGGGGCGGGACTCGCCCTTTCCTTCCCAGCCCCTTCTTTTGCAGAAGGAAGCCCTGGAGTAAGGAAGTACAAGTGTGCCATTTACAAGTAGAGGCTCAATTTGGATCCCATGATAATTTATTTGAACTCTTTAAAGTTTTATGCCATTTAACTTTTTTTTTCCTTGTTTTTTTCCAACTTTTTTGCTGTCCTTACAAACCAGTTGCTTGGCTCAGGGGCCAACAGTAAGTTGCTTCTGAGAGCCAGTCAGAGTCAGGTCCAAGGAATTTTCTATTCCTGGTCCCAAATGTTGCCTCTTAGAGGAAGTTACTCTCTCAGCCATTTTTCTTATATAATGGATCACTCCTTTGGGGGTCTTTTAAATAACCACTCAAAATTTTCCATTTCACTTTAAAGTGTAAAAAACCATGGCAACAAGAAGGGCAGAAAATTCCAAAAGGTTTACTTTTGAGAGTTTGTTTTAATGTGCGCTGATAACTTTAGTCTAAAATGTTTAATAAATTTGTTACTCAAGTTCAAGGCCAGATACTGAAGTGATTTCCCTGCTCTGTCCTGGCTGTCTCTGTGCTCTTCTTACTGTTGTTAATGATGCTGAAGGCGTCCCTTTAAACCTGCATTGCTCACCCTTTATTTTTCTAGTGTTAGAAAAGGGCTTTTCTTCTTCATTATTAATCTCCTTTGTACCAGAATTCACAAATTTTTAGAGGATGCCTTTCCCCATACTGCCCAGCTCTCAGATCAGACATAGGACTAAAATCCTGAGAATGGAAATGGGTGATGAGAGGAGTCATCATGAGGGCACTTTTTGTACCTGGAACCAAATAATATCAATTTTACCATTCTTTCCTTTTGGATGCTGAAAACATCTGAATAGAAAAATGTACCTATTGAGCCTTTTGATACAGTGACTTTTGGCCTCTATGGAATTGAGGCACCTTGGACCTGCATCCCACCATTAATTCTCTGTTTCGTTGTTAATAATCTCAACTGATGAAAAGGACTTTAAAGAACTGGACTAGCCTTTTTGGTTTTCTGGTACCTCATGTTTGATCACTAGCCAGATATGATTTCTTGGAAATTGACTGAGTTTACTAACTTGCAGTATTAAGCTATTGAGGATAAATGGCCATGTCTAGTGTTACACTGAATTTTGTGGCAAATGTAACTTAAGAGCAAATGGATTCTACTGGGAGTTAAAATGATTGTGTTCCATTCTCCTTTTGGGGTAAGAGTTGTTTAGCCTGGTCTCCAAAAAGATACAGAACTTTTCATCATGATCTTTGTAAGCTAATCTTGGTATTCCTTTATAAACCTGCATACCCTGAAGTTTCATAGGGGAAAAGAAAATGAGGAACAAGTGACTCTTAAGGATGTTTATTGGATAAGAAGCTGAGACAAAGCTGAGCCATGTCCTGAGGGCTCTTTCTCATTTCCTTTGTGCCTAGTACCAAGTATCCGCAGTATCACTTAGTATCAAAGTATTTGCATCCATTCCCATCCTGTTAGCTCTTAGAGAGGGAGGGATATCAGTTCCAGTCACACTTTACCATGATGGAAGATGTTTCCTCATGAAAAATGCCATTACAGATTTTTAAAAATCTATTCCAAATGCACTTTCTAATTTTTTGCTTTTAAAATGGCTTCTTGGAACCAGGTTTATTGTATTCGTACTTAATTTTTGTTCTCATCTAAATGTGCTTTTTCTGACTGTATAGAAGAAGCTTTGTTATGTAATTTAATAATAAATTAGAAATCTGAGTGGTGTGTCTATGGTTGTTTGTATTGGAACAGTGCCATTAAGGCAGATTGGGATCGTGACTATGAAATTTTGATACTGGTAAGTATTTTTTATGGTGTCCTAAAACCCAGGGTGAAACAGTGCAGGTACTGAAAAGCTATTACCTATCACTCAAAAAGCGTCGTAGGAATATTCCCCTAATAATTTTAGTCCAAGGAGTGAAGGAGAATCTCTTATCAAAATGAAACTTCAGGAGGTATGACTGAAATGTGAAATTGTAGAATTTAGCCAGAGAAACAGGTTCTTACCCTCCCTAAATAAGGACATTTTTATCCTGTAGATCAGGACTTGATTTTCCACCGTCACACCTCCCACCCTGGAGAATTTGAAAATCCCTCATTTTCCATTACGTCCCCAAATGTTCACTCATGTATTCTGCATCCTTCTTTGAAAATAACAGTATAATGGAGATATAATTCACATACCACAAAACTCACCCTTTCAAAGTATACTGATGGGTTTTAGTATGTTAGTTGTGCAGCCAGCACCACTATCTAACTTTAGAACATTTTCATCACCCCAAAAAGGAACCCTGTCCCCATTGGTACTGACTCCCCAGCCCCCCATGCTTATCTGATCTTACTGTTCTTCCTTTGTGGGCCACCCCAGCTTTTCCCTCCCATCCAGTCACATAGCCTCTAAAGTCACCTCTTCCTTGGGGTCTTGTGGCTTCCTATTGTGTCCAGCCCTGTATGTGTGCACCCCATATAGACATACGGAAAATCCAGCAGCACTTAGAGAGGTAGCCTCCCCTTTCACAGATAAACGAGCAGAGGACTAATTTGCTCAAAAACAGTGAACGTTAAACAAGGATTTGAATCTTGAGGGCTCTCTGATGCCAAACATTATCCTAGTTCTGCAAAATGTATTTTAACTCACGCTGCATAATTAGGAAAGAAGCTATAGAAGAACCACCAATTTTGCCTGATTTTAAAGGTGACACATTTAGAATATGTAAAGCCCTCTGGCTTGATTATTTTCAAAGAATGCTAACTACAATCACTGTTCCTTTACAAGAACTAATGCACTGAAGTTGTAGGAAGAGTCTTTTTTAGTGACTTTAATTTGGACCAAACTTCCAGCCCATTTCTTCATACCTTCTACTTTAGAACCTCAGAGGTCTTCCTAAAGATGGCAGAGGCCAAGCCTGACAGGGCACCTCAGCACAGATCCTCAGTCAGGGCCACCCAAACGACACCGTGGTACATTTCCTTTCCACTGACAGGCTGGCAGCTCCTATTGAACCTGGACTTTCCTTGGGAAAAGAGCTGAGGCTCTGCCCCAACGTGCCTTGCTTTGTCTGCTATCAGAGACGCCTAGAAGTTTAAAAAAAAAACAAAAAGAAAAGACAGGGGAATCTCACTGAAGATATTTACTGTCAGGACATTTCCTCTTGTTTCTCTAAAGCAAAAGCCAGGAGAAAAACAAATCTATTCCTCCTTCTGAAGACAACAGATTTGCTGGCCAAGTTGGAACAGAGAGGATTGCACTTCAGCCTGATGGCTTCCGCTCCACTCGGCTAAGATCTCCCACCCCAGCAGAGAGCTGTTCAGCTTGCAAAGCTCTTTATTACTAACTCTCTCAAGACACTTAAAAGCTAAAAAGATTAGGTGCCGAAAGTCTGTTACAGCTTTCTGCTGAGAGGAATCCCAGAGATCACTGAAGATGCTCTCCAAACCCTCGTAAAATTGCCTTCTAATTTGTTACCCTGATCTGTCATACTCATATTTTCCTTCCTTTGAGATAGAGAGCTCTTAGGAAACACTTTCTCTTAATTAGTACATTTCTTTTAGATATTCTCAAACATTCAATTAGTCTTACTGATAAAATTGCTTACAGCTTGAGGGAGAGCAGGCAAATATAGTTAGTAGCTGCTTTTAACTCCATGCCAAAAAACTGTAGTTTAAACATAATTATTTCCCCCAAAGTGTCACATTATCTCAATGTGTCATTCACTTTTTTTTTTTTTTAAGCAGTTCTCCTCTCATTAAGGATAACATGCTCAGAATATGCCATTTGGTGCTTTTTTGCCCTGAAATCAGTCCTAAATCCTCTCCACTTCCCTTTCCCGTCCCTGTTGCCTGGTCCCCAAGCTGAGGCCCTGTGGTTCATTATGGGACTGCACATAGCAGCCACCCTCTGAGCTGGGTGCCCTGCCTCCTGTCTAACCCCTCTCTACCCGCTTTGCACACACCTGCCTGGTTTATCTTCCTGAACAACTTCCAACTTCACATCACTCTGTTCGGGAATATTTGGCAGCTTCCTTTTATCTATGCCTGTGTGTTATAACCTGTTAACACATGGAATGTACACCCAGCACTTTGCTTCGTACATCATGCATGCATGCATCACAAATACAGACAAAACCCTGTTCACTTGGTGAGGCAGTATTCTCCTTTTACAGATAAGGAAACAAGCCCAAGAGATCAGAGTACTGAGAGCCATCTGCTGCCCTTTGCCTTGCCAAAGTTTCCTCATCCTTTGTGAATCAGCAGTGCCGCCTGGTGCGGTGGAAAGAACCAGGCTTGGGGTCAGAAGTCCCGTATTCTGGCACTGGATCTGATATTTTTAGGCCAAGGGCAAGTCGCTAAACCACTGTTAAGTTCAGTTTTCTTATCTGCAAAATGGACTCTAGCAACTTTATGCAGTTCTAGAGATCAAATCAAGTCAAAGATAACAAAGGTACAAAATTCCCCAGGATGTTCTCAAGAAATAACGTGGGGGCAGGGGGAGTTTTCCATTAGGCTGCAAGTCCCTGGAGAGCCAGGGCAGTCCTCTGTTCACCTTTATGTCATGTTTTTGAACCTTTGCACAAACTGCCACAGAACTCTCTAAGTTCAGTTGAATCTGACTCACAGCCCCCATCCTACTGGGCTTAGCAAAAAAAAAAAAATCAATCTTGCTCATAATTGAATCTCCCTCCCTTTGTCTCTTGTGTTGTGTAAAGCTCCCAAGAGTCTTTCACAGTCCAGAACATTTGGGGCAGGCACTCTAATCCACACTGGACCCCATGATAAACTTGCCATCTGAGCCCACGTAGTCCTTGAAGCCACCAGTTGCTCTGCTGCTGTGTAACCCTTGGGCACAGGGAATCTTTGCCAAGGAGCTCCTGGACCTGGGGTTCAACCTCCCTGGCACATAGTAGACATTAAGTGGTTGTTGAATAAATGGAGGAAGGAGTGAAAAAAAAAAGCCACAAAGTTTTAACTCTCATTTGCTGGTGTTTGACTAGTTCTCAGAGGTGGTCCTGCCCTGTGTTGCGTTGTCTCCGTGCAGCTGGGAAGGGTGCCTCCCACGGTACCGGGTGACTTGCCCACTCCTTAGACTGGTGGAGCATGGGCTCAGAGTCCTTCCAGTGGTCTCAGCAGGGGGAGACTTTGCCCCTTCCCCAGGGTATATTTGGTAATGTCTGGAGACATCTTTGGTTGTCCTAACTAGGGTGGGGTGGAGGAGAGTGGATGCTACTGGTGGTGGTTAGAGGTCGGAGATGCTGCTAAAAAATGTTACAGTGCACAGGACAGCCCCCACCTCACCAAAGAATTATCAGGCCCCAAAATATCAGCAGTGCCAACGTTGAGAAACCCTGATTCAAACTAAATTTGTATTAAAGTTGACACTATGCCCCCAGGGATGCAGAGTACTTTGCCCTTGGTCCCATAACCAATTCCTCCTTCCCACCCTGGACGAACTCAGAGCTGGGGCAGATGCTCTTCCCTGCCCCGCCTGCCTTCCCTTCCTGCCTCATCCCATCACTTCACCCCCGCAACACATGCTTCACACCATCCCAAGCGACTTGATGTCCCAAGGCCCCTGTAAAGCTCCTCTTTTGCAATGACCTCCTTTCCAAGCCTGCCTGTGAAATGCCTCCTCCTTGTTTTTCAACCCTGCTTGTGGGGAGTAACTTAATGGGTATGGCGTTTCCTTTCAGGGTGACGATGTTTGGAAACTACATAGAGGAGGTGGTTGCACAATGATGCAAATGTACTAAATGCCACTGAATTGTACACTTTAAAATGGTTAATTTTATGGTGTGTGAATTTCACCTCACTTTCAAAAAAGAAAAAAAAACAAGTTGATTGAGCTTTCCTGAGGAAAGACTTTCTGACCTGCCCCTCCTCTGGGCCTCCTGTTTTCCTCTGTGCTCCCACAGCCCCTATCAATCAACATAGTAGGGGCTCAGTAATTATCGAGAGAGAGAGAAAGTTAAATGGAAGCATCGGGTTGCCCTGAATTTAAGCAGTGGCTATAATGCTGGAGATGAATGTCATCAGATGCTGTGGCCTCTCCGTTAACTGCCACCTCACTGCTTTACAGCAGCCCAGCCCTTCAGTTTCCTTTCCCTACATTCAGGCACCATGGTATGAGGTGCTCAATTCCCCACAACTATTCCAAGACAGTCCTATTGCCAAAGAAAGCCTGGAACCTGAGAGTGATTGCAAACCGGGACTGCATTATCAGCACATAGCATAATCGCCAAGGAAATCCCACCTTGTGGATCTCAGAAAGCTGCAGGGCAGTTTCTTCAATCCCTGTGGGGACCATCCGTTCCATTTCAGAGCAGGCAGGACTTGAGCCAGTGAGAGAATTGAGGCATTTTCATACTATCTTTCAAAATCATCAGTTAAACCTTTGGCTAAGCAATTGCAGTTCTAAGAATTTATCCTACAGGTACAAAAAGATGTATATATAAAGATGTTCATAGCAGCACTGACTGTAAAAGAAAGGTGGTAAGTAACCTAAATGTCCATCAGAAGGAGGATGGCTAAATAGATTATGTAAATCTACATCGCAGAATACTATTCAGCTGTTAAAAAGAAAGGTAACTGGCTATGTGCTGATATGGAATGATCTCCAGGGCATGTTAAGTGGGGAAATGATACACATGTGTCACATCAGATTTAAAAAAAAAAAGCCCTATTGGGTATAATTGGCTTATAATAAACTCCATGTATTTAAAGGG